AAGCCCGCAGCCCATGAAATCAAAATAAAAAACTCACATTATAAAATTAAAGCAAGATCCATAATACCCACCCCCTCGGGGTACTCAGACTTCTCCCAATTTGGACAAGATTGGTCAATTGACGTCCTTTTTCCTTAAAAATGACGTCAACCGCTCCATCATCGGGAAAAATATGACAATTAGCAGAATCTGGGGTTACTCAGACTTCACCCCGCTAGACCCATCACAAAATCAACATAACCCAATAATTTAATCAACTATTGACATGACAATCAACCATTTACGATCATTTAAACACGAATTCATTTAAATACAGCCAATCCAACAATCATACGATGATCAAACTACACTACCCAACGATATTCAACAATAATTTATCACAAGCATTTGATTTCAACCAACAATTAAGTTTGGGGTTCAGAAAAGCAACCTTTGATGATGATATTTGTAATGCTAGGCGACAAAGAAATTACAAAATCAATCTCGAGCAAAGATCCCTCGCAAAAAAAAAGAGTAAACATGCAAAAGTACTAGAATTTTAATGCTGGAGTGAAAGTGCGGAGGTTGAAGAAGTGAGAAAGTGAAGGATTTTTGAATTTCAAACCGTTTAGCCCTTTTAAACTCTTCCGTTTGTGCGACTGTCGGAGATTATGTTGGGTCCGCCGACCCACTCGACGATGCGCCAAGTCGTATTTTGGCTCGACGAGTTTTACAGAACTCCAAGCAATTTGGGGGTTCAAACGGTGGGAAAAGACGAGCTCGCCGACCTGTTCGGCGAGTCGACGACTGAGCTTTTGGCTCGCCAAGTTTTACAGAACTATCCATCAAGCTGGGTAATTCAAATAACGGTCCAAATCGGGCACGCCAACCTGTTCAGCGTGTCACTGATAGGACTTTGAGCTCGCCTTCTACTACTTTTTCAATACTTTCAACTTTTCAACCTGCAAAATCAACACCCGTTATTCACAAGAAAAATTTAAAACATCAAAAATATGGGTTGCCTCCCAAGAATCGCCTTATTTAACATTGTGGCACGATGGAAATACCAATTCAAGCTTTATTTTTGGGGCTGACCATTGTGTCACTAGGCAATCCTCCTTTTGGCCTTGAATTTAAATAAGTCGAGATTTAACCCATTTGTGTCTCTAGCTATTTAATAGACACTGAGTGAAAAGGCACCGTCTGATTGAGAGTTGAGACGTCCTCCTTCATCTCTTTCAACACTTTGTCTGACCCTTCTACCTTATTGGGAATGCGGTCAAGCATGTCTTCTGTGTGGAAGTTCTCTGGGCCAGCTCTTTTCTCTTTAGGCTTTGGGCGTTCATGAGGTGGGGGGTATCTTTCATTTTCACCATTCCTTTCCTTCCAAGTAGCATTACGGTCATGCCATTCCCTATCACGATCTCTCGATCCATCATCTCTATTCCAACTCAGATTTCCACCCAGCCTTGGATAGTTTGAACGAAACCCTCCTCCTTAATTTGCAAGGAAGTTCACTTCCTCATTGTACAGTGCCTCAAATTATGCTTCTTCGGGGTTTGCTCCACCAATACCCACAACATTTACACTCTTGAACCTACTACCCATCACATTTTTCGACAATAAATTTAGATGGGTCATCATTTTGGCCATATTTTGGTCTCTCTTGATATTTCTCGATCTGCTCTTTCGTCATTCTAACAGTGAGAGAAGACACTTGGTCCTCACAAGTGTACCATTCTGTATTGATCTTAGTCATGCCTTCAAGGAGTTGAGACACTACCTCATAAGGTTGTTGCATTATACCTCCGGTAACAAGTTGATCAGCAACACCCTTGTTCACTGAGTCAAGACTCCTATAGAAGTATTTTTGAAGCACGTTGTTTGGATGTCCGTGAGTGGGACATTGAAGTACCAACTTCTGAAATCTCAGCCACATCTCGTGGATTGGTTCACCATCCAAGCGTTTGAAACCTTGGATACTATCTCTGAGCGTCATCATCTTTGATTGGGGGAAAGAATCTCACATGGAATGTTGTTGTAAGCTCATCCCAAGTAGTGATGGAGTTCCTCGGTAGATCAGCTAACCATTTGGTAGCTTCACCCATCTAAAAGAATGGGAACAACCGGAGACGGACTTATTCTTAAGAGATGATCTTGAATGAAAACGAACCACATACATCCACGAAGTTCCAAATATGCTGATGGGGATCCTCATGGGCTAGCCCTCCATATAGCCCTTTCATTTGCAAGAGTTGTAGCATTGTGCCAGTGACATGAAAGACAACATTCCCCTCAACAGGAGGTAGACGTATAGCACCAACACCACCCAATTGAATTGGGTCATTCACATCATTCAGATTTCCAATATCATCTTGGTGGCCAATTTGGTTACCATTACTACCGTTCACGCTCATTTCTTCCTCCGTTCAAACAAACCAACACAAACACAAAACAAAGTAAGCCGATTCAACTACAACACAAGAAGATTACAATTTAAACTTCAATAATAGAATTCTAAACACCACTCCCTGGCAGCAGCGCCATTTTTGATAAACGCTCAACCACACCTCATCCAAGACTAGGTGTGGGCGATCGTAATCTAGTATAAAACCCAACGAAGAGTTGGGGTCAAACCCACAGGGAGCGCTACAAGTTCGAATTAACTTACGAAGTTACAAATCTAATATAATTGGTGGTGGGAATAGAACTTATCGATAACATTTAGCTAAATTGAAATGGGTGACAGTAAATGTAAGATGGGGGGAATTGGTTTGTCAATTAACAACTACAACAAATATGAAAATAGGGGTTTCCACAAGATTAAGAGGAATTCTCGGGATGTGATCGATTATAAGCTAATTATGTTATACGGGTAATTAAAATTTAACAATAATTTGCTCAATCATTGTGGGTAGGCTAGACTATAAGTGCAATAGTTTTTTCTCGAACAACTATTACGGTACAGGCGAGTTTTGTCGAATCTCGGCAAGCTTAACACTATAATATAGCCCAAAACCTAAATTTACCTACTCTCTCGAGTTAGATAGTTAGGAATGAGTCAAGATTTACTCTCTCGAGCTAAACCCACAATGACCCACACTACAATCATCAATTGATAACCTTGGTTTTAGAACCCCTCTCTCGAGCAAGCCCAAAACACTAAGCTAAAATTGTATTTGCAACTACAATTTATAAATTACTACTCAGCTATCAATCAAACTCACATTAAAATAGCAATTTAATCATTAAACAACAATACCCATAAGCTAATAAGACAAACAAACACATGATCACACCTAAAGAATTGGGGTTTTAGCTACACATCATAAAAAGAGAGAAATGATTACCAACTATACTAGCCATGAGCTAGGTAAAAGCTTCCAAGTCTTTACAATGGTCTAAATTGAATAAATTCCAAAACCCACTTCCAAATCCTCAAATTCAAGCTTCAAAGTCTTCAATGAAAACTAAAAAACTCAGAGAAAATCACAAAAAATTGAACGTAGGGAAACTGAACTCCTGAAACTCTATTTAAAATTTCATTTTATAGTTTCCCAATTTTGGGGCCTGAAAGACCATTGGGCGAAGTAAGTCGCGCCCCGCCGAACCAGTCGGCGATCTGCCTTTTGCTCCAATCCATCACCGGTTTGCATTGGCTATTTGTCTTTAGGGTTCTGTGGCTTTAGGCGATCAAGGTTGCCATCGTGGATTCATTCGGCGATCCGCCGACTGCCCATTTCGGTCGCCAAATTAGTTCTTCCCCAGGGTTGGCACACTGGAACTTTGGGCTAGCTAAAAAGCCACTCGGTGGTTCGCTGAGTGGTCTTGGCGATCACCAGGATCGCTTTTCTTCACTTCTTCAGCTTGTTTGCTCTTTTTTTGCCCGGTAGTGTCCTTGCCTTGCTCCTTAGACTTCATAACTGCAAATCAACACTTTAACATCAGTTTAGAGCATAAATTAGTCATTTTAGGACACTTAAACTATCAAAACAAAGCCCTAAATGAGTTAAAATCTCAAACTCATCATCAGACATTTTCTCCAGTAGCTAAAATGTTTACTGTGAAGGTTGTTATTAGCATTGTAGCAACCCACAATTGGTCTCTCTTCCAAATGGATGTTCACAATGCTTTCCTTCAAAGTGATCTAACTAAAGAGGTTTACATGGAACTGCCGCAGGGATTTCAGAGATAGGGGGAGTATAAAGTATGCAGACTCTTGAAATCTCTATATGGCTTGAAACATGTTGCTAGGAAATGGAATCTCAAGTTAATTGATGCCTTAATCATATCTAGGTATTTTCAAAGTCCATATAACCACTCATTGTTCACAAAAAGGGTTGGTGATGACATTGTTGCAGTACTGATTTATGTGGATGATCTTCTCATAACAGGGAATAGTGATGGTCTAATTCAAGATATGAAGACCACACTACATAGCAACTTTAAGATGAAAAACCTAGGTGATCTAAAATACTTTCTTGGAATTGAAGTGTTGAGGTCCAAGGGTGGCATAGTACTCAACTAAAGCAAGTATGCACTGGAGTTAATCTCTGATTGTGGTCTTGGAGGCTCAAAGCCAGCAAGCACACCATTGGAAGCAGGTGTCAAATTGACTACTACTGACTATGATGAAGTTACAGGCAAAAGAGATGACCCTTTTATGCACAAATGTCACTGCATATCAAAGGCTTATTGAAAGGTTGTTGTACTTGACAACCACTAGTCCAAATATAAGCTTTGCAGTACAAATGTTATCTCGATTCATACAAAAACATAAGGAGTATCATTGGAATGTTGCACTGAGGTTTGTGAGGTACATTAAAGGGTGCCCTAGACAAGGGATACTATTGAGTTGTGAACCTAGCAATCAGATAGAGGCTTATTGTGATTCAGACTGGGCAGCTTGCCAAAGTACCAGAAGGTCTATTACAGGTTATGTGATCAAACTAGGGAATTCACTAATCTCTTGGAAGTCCAAAAAAACAACACAGTAAGTAGAAGCAGTTGAATACAGGAGTATGGCAGTTGCAGTTTCAGAAATAATTTGGTTGTTGGGAGTGCTGAAGGAATTAAATGTGCATATGGTTACTCCAGTAACATTGTATTGTGATAATAAGGCTGCTATCCAGATTGTGGCTAATTCTATCTTCCATGAAAGGACCAAATACATTGAAATTGATTGCCATGTTGTGAGGGAAAGAATTAAAAGTGGATTGGTACACACAGAGTATATCAGTACCAAGGAACAGCTTGTAGACCTTCTCACAAAGGGATTAGGAAGTACACAACATCATGCATTGTTAGACAAGCTTGGAGTATTTAATATCTATGAAGATTCCATCTTGAGGGGGAATGTTGGAAATTAAATAAGAATGCAGTAGTATAGTTAGTTGTGACAGTTAGAAGTCAGAAAAGTTGTTAGTTAGTTATAACTAATTTCGTCTGTATTAGTTCAGTCCTATAAATAGGACATGTATGTGTAATTGCAGTTTCTAATCAATACAATTTTCTCCTCTTTCTTCTTATTTAAATCTATGTTATTCACCTATGTAGTCTAGGTTACTAAGATCTGCAACAATGGAGGATTAACTCCATGAATCTATGAAATTTATTGATGGCGATATCAATTATGTTTTACCCCCAACAATTATAATCAGAACTTTTGTAAATCTATTCGATCTAACTCAAGTAACGATAAAATATGACATAGATTAGACATGTTAAAATGGACAATTTTGGATCCAAAGAATAAAAGTATTTTATTCTTACTCGGGATCAAGGACTTTCCCCAATAAATATTGGTTTTCTTTCTTCCTTTCCATTATTCAATGCTGGAATTTTTTAGAAACTCATCTTGAGTATTTTTTTTGTTATAGAAAATTAAGTTGTTAACTTATTACTTTCGATGCCGCACCCATATTGATACGATATGAATGTGCGTTTGATATTATTACTAAATATTATCAATCGATTTTCTGTTCTTTGATCAAAATTGATAGAAAAATTCGAGATAAATACAATAATTTTTTTAATCAAAAAAAAACTTAGGGTGAAATTATGATTTAGGCATATGATTTTTTTATTTTTTTTAAAAAGGTTATTGTACTAAAGAGTCTACAACCAGTTCCTTTAAAGGTAATTACAAGTCAACATTATTTTCAATGCGTAATGAACTCAAGGAGTCCATCGTGTCCTCTATATTATTTAATTTGCAATAGTCATGTTACACCAAAATAACATTAAGAATGTCCATTTATATATACTTAATAATAATAATAACTACATATTCAAACTTTCTCTAAAAGTTTGGTGCATTCTTCTCTTTTCAAATAGACCATCATGATTTAGGCATATATTTTTATAATTCTATTTTTAGATATAAAATCTATTTTAACCTAATCCTCACATTGGTATTCAAAGAACCCTGAATCTTATATTTTAGATAATGAAGAATCCAACCTTTAGATCTGCATCTATATTATATTGGGTGTCTGCATCTGAATCGGAGCAACTTAAGAGTTAAGCTTATTCCATAGAATTAGTGTTTGAAAAAACTTTGACTGAAAAGCTCTTCTGTGGAGTAATAATTGTGAGGTATTCTCTTGGGATATTTTGGTGTGGTTTAGCTCAGGAGCGGAAATGGGACTGCAAAGATTTTAAGTTTTAACCCTATGATAGCTGGTGCGTGGGAAAAGTTGCTGAAGAAAAAATCATTAGCACAAAAAATACTATGTTTCGTCTAGTATTTTAAACATTTTTGGAAGTTAGAAATCTTGAATTAAGAAAACTTTTAAAAGAGTTCTTCTTGTATAAACAAGGCACATGCATATGATTATAATAACTCAATTTTCATCGGTTTGCAATAATTTCCATCCTTAAATTTATGATTATGAATGTAGGACTTGTAATTTTAACCCAAAGTATGAAAAGATGAATTTAAAGCTAGTATTTTTTATGCAAGTCATGATTTGGCTCGAGGATAAGATTATGACTATGATTTTCATATTATATTTTCATATTATTTCATCATCTATTTCCTGATTTAAAACCTTAATCTTGGTTGGAAATTGGGGGTTTTATATCTAGACTTAAAAAAATTATAAGTTAATAGTTTGAAGGTTCAGATCAGGATAATGTTTGCCATATAAGGTGCTTAGACTAGGGGTCACCTTTGTTAGCTTCATATAATCGATAAGTTTTATTAATAACAACACTTAACTGACTAGTCACTTGGTGCAGGAAAAGAAAGAGAAACAAATCAAGCACAAAATCCCTTCAGGAAGGAAAAGAGATGATTTGCTGATTAAGCCAAGAACACAACACCCTAAGAAAAGAAAGGTAATATTTGTTCAATCAATCAAGGGAAACAGTTTGCAGAAATCAAAGGATACACTCAAGGAAACAAGATCAGCCAAGGAAGAAAATATCCTCTTAATCAACCTAGCAGGACAATACGCACCAATCAAGGGACACAATCAAGGAAGTAAGATCAGCCAGAATCCAAGGGAAATCAAAGGATGAAGTCAAGACGATAAGATCAACCAAGAATCAAGTTTGGAAAGAGATCATTATACAAGGAAGGATTTGATTTTCCATGCACATATATGATATGGACATGACTTAGCAAATCAATCAGGATCGAATCAAGGATAAAATCAATGATCCTTGTTTCAAACACCCTTGGGTTTATGAAAAGAGCAAAGCTATATAAACCTCTCTCAGCCATAGTTGTGAAGTACGCACTTCACTTGAACTTGTACGATTGTCTTCTATTATCTTTCATAAAACCATTGTATTCTTAAGAGTATACAATTGAAAAAGAAAAGAAAAAGAAAGATCAAAGTGTAGGTTATACAAGTAGAGGTTGTTTCAATTAGAAGATCTAATTTGCACATCAGACAGGGAACTTAGCGAAACCTTTATGTAACCCATCAAGTTCTCAATTGCTCTTAAGGAACCCTTGAAACCCAAGGGAACTAGACGTAGGCACCACACCGGTGTTCCGAAATAGTATAAAAACTCATTGTGTTATTTACTTACTGCATTTACTTTCCTTGATTATCTAGTTTACTAACTTGCAAGTGAGTTGACTAACTGTTGCAGGAAGTCGACTGAAGGAAATTTTAATTCAACCCCCCCCCCTTCTTCACTTTCAATTGGTATAAGAGTAGGTCTCACCATAGAAGTGTTTAACCACACGTGAGCAAAGATCCAATGGCACATTATCAGATTCCTGGTGCTCTACTTCAAGATGGACATTCCTCAGATCGACCACCATATTTCAACAGCCAACACTACTCATACTGGAAAGATAGATTCAGAATCTTTGTCTCCTTAAATGATCATCAAACATGGATTGTGATCAAAAAGGGTTCAAAGCTTATTCCTGGACTACTGAAAAATATGTCACTAAAAAGCCATTTGATCCAAAATCTTTCAATATCACAAAAGACCAACAAGTGGTAATTCAAACTAATGCTAGAGCTATAAGTCTGTTATATGGTGTAGTGAGTGGAGCTGAATATCACAAGATATCAACATGTGAAACTGCGAAAGAAATGTGGGACAAACTAGAAGTGACTTATGGAGGAACCACCAAGGTAAAAGAAGCTCAAATCAATTCACTAGTCAATGAATATGAACTGTTCAAAATGGCTTAAGATGAAAACGTTGAAGCCATGTTCTCAAGATTCAGTAAAATTGTCTGCGAACTCAAATCACTTGGAATGGTGTACTCAAATGGACTACAAGTTAGAAAACTTGTTGAAAGTCTTCCCAAAGCTTGGGAAACTAAATTTTCCATCCTTGAAGATGGAGATCTGCAAAAGATGACGTACGATGAACTATGAGGCAACTTGATGGCCTATGAACAAAATCATATTAACAGGTACAGCAAGGATGATAAAAAGAAAATTGTACCATTTACCGCTGAGACATCTGAAGTCGGAGAAGAAATCGGTGATTATCAAGACGAAGGAATGGACCTCATAAATCGAGGAGTGAGGCAAATGCTTAGACAAAGAAAACAGAGACCTCAACAGGAATTCAAAAATAATGATCTTAGATGAAGTGATGATTGTTGATACTACTGTGGAAAACCAGGACATATTAAACAAAACTGCCTAGAACGGAGAAGGACAAATAATCGACTAAATGAAGATCCAAAAAGTATCGGAGCATGCAATCAAGGAGAAAAAACCGATGACGATCATGATGAAACTGCCAACATATGCTTCATGGAACTAGGTGAAACAAGTGAGGTAAGACCTTTCAACTGCACTAACTCGAATGACTTACAAAATTCTTTAGACATGGTTGTTGATGAATTACAAAAAGTTATTGATGAGTACAATAAATTTGCCCAAGAAAAGAAAGATTGGCAAATTCTTCTCGAAGAAAGTCATATTGAAGTCGACTTACTAACAGAAGAACTGGATGAAGTAAAAATACAGTTGAATAGTATCAGGAAATCTCCCAGTCATAGTTCTGTCAAATCTAATAGAACTACTTTCAACAGGAGAAGATCTCCCAATCATAGTTCCAACAGATCAAATAGATCTATATCTAACTCTCACTCTCCTGAAAATTCTATTAAAATTACTTGTTATACTTGTGGTGAACTCGGTCACAATTCTTTGAACTGTAGAAAATATTCCTCTGGAAAGTGGATTTTGAGACCAAAAGTTATTAATCATCAAGGACCCAAAAATAATTGGGTACCTAAAAGAAACTAATCTCTTTTGTTTGCAGGAACAGTATAAGAAAACCTACAAAAAGAGAATGTGGGTACTTGACAGTGGATGCTCCAGACACATGTGCGGGAAGAAAGAAAATTTCAAAACCATAAAAAAAGATTGATGGAGGCTGTGTAAGATTCGGGGACAATGCTAAAGGAGAAGTAACACGAGTGGGAACTATTACTCTCAGTTCTTCATGTGATCTAGTTGAAGTGTATTTGGTTGAAGGACTCAAGCACAACCTTCTTAGCATCAGTCAACTATATGATGCTGGATTTCAAGTCACCTTCAGCACAGCAAACGGCATCATCAACCATTCTGAGAAAAATCTCACTCTCATCGGTGATTGAGTAAATAATATATATGTTTTGAATAATGTTAATTTCTATTTTCTTACTTGTCTTACTGCAGTCACAAGTGACTCATGGCTATGGCATCGAAAGCTTGGACATGCAAGCATGCACGCTCTTGAAAAACTTTCTAAGTTTGAACTAGTTATTGGTTTACCAAAATTAAAATTCGAGAAAAATCACATCTGTGATGCATGTCAAATGGGTAAGCAAACTCGTTCATCCTTCAAGGTAAAAGATATTGTAAGTACCTCTAAACCCCTCCAACTCTTTCATATGGACCTTTTTGGTCCAACTCGAACTGCTAGCATCGGAGGTAAAAGATTTGCTTTCATAATTGTCGATGACTTTTCAAGATTCACGTGGGTAATCTTTCTCACTCACAAAAGTGAGGCCTTTGCTAACTTTGAAGTGTTTTGTGGAAAATTTCAAAGAGAAGCAGGTTACTTCATGTCACGACCCGGGAGCACCCCCAAGTCGTAACACGGCGTAATCGACCCCGAAGGGGTCTTATACAAGCCACATAGTCATTCATTGCATTCAATAATGAAAATAGTGCGGAATAAAAAACATATTTATTTACATCCACACATTTAAACTTCTCAAAACAACTTTAAAAACACACAGCGGAAGTCTAAGTCTCACATGGCCATCTTAGACACAAACAAAAACATAAGTAGGGACACGGCCCTTTACAATCAAAA